TAAGACTCTGTGGTACCTTCGTGTTCCCCAGCTTCTCATTGAAGACCCAAGCCCATCCCTTCTTTGTTCTCTGGTTCCACAGGGTGCAGCCTTTGCAGGAAGGGCCGTTCACTTGAGGGTAGATTAGTGTGAAAGTGTCTGGCAGGACTTTGTCTCAAACTTGCTTCAGGAAAGAAAATGGTTCTTTCCCCTGAATTCCACAAATGGCACCTGAAGCTCAGAGGAACCTAGGCCCTGTTGTCCCATTTCCATTCTGTGGCCAGTTCTTTTATCCAGCTGCTCACTCCACCTGCAAAAGGAATTCAGCTCTCCTTCCATTTTTCTCTCAGGTTCTACAATATTTTTGGAACCCATGCAACCCTTGAAAAATATTTTTCTAGACAGAGTGCAGAGTCTGCTTTTTTTTATTTTTGTCATTAATGGACTAGTGTTCATCCATCTTTCAGAATTTCAAGGGATGTAATCACCTTCCCTACTAAATACTTAGAAAGACTTCTGTTTTGCATTTTCGTATCAGAATATTTGATGTCAGTATTGTGGTTATGTGCATGTGCCCACCCATGCTTGTGTGTGTGCACGTGTTTGTGTGGGTGTGTGTGAAGGCCAGAGCTTGCTACTGGGTGTTCCTCAGTCACTCTCCTTGTGTTTCTAAGACAGGGCATCTCACCGAATGGGACTAGTGAGCCCCTGGGGTCTCCTTGTGCCCGGCTCCCTGTCACTGGGATTACAAGCACACGCTGCTGGGCATCTGGACACAGGTCCTATGACAAGCATGTTACTGAGTTATCTCCACAGCCACTTGTGGTTGCTTTGTTGTGTTTTTGTTTTTTAAATATTTGCTCTATAGCGATCAATTGTAATGTCCTTATATTATAAAAATGTGTTTTTCAGTGATCTTACTTAACTTTTTTGTTCTGGGGTGTGTCTGTGCATGCATGTGTGTATTTTGTACACATTTGTGTGGACAAGCATGGAGGTCAGATGAAGGGATCGGATATCCCCCCCCCCTTATTTATTTATTTATTTATTTATTATGTATACAATATTCTGTGTGTGTGTATGCCTGCAGGCCAGAAAAGGGCACCAGACCCCATTACAGATGGTTGTGAGCCACCATGTGGTTGCTGGGAATTGAACTCAGGACCTTTGGAAGAGCAGGCAATGCTCTTAACCTCTGAGCCATCTCTCCAGGCCCCCCCCCCCCCGTTTTTATCACTCTCAGCCTTGTTCCTTTGAGCTAGGGTCTCTGCTGAAGCAAGAGCTCCTGTTGTATTTTGGGGGGCTTAGGCTGGCATCCAGCAAGCCCCAGTGATCCTCCTGTCTCCACCCACTGTAGGGCTAAGATATCCAGGGTACATGCTGTCTTTATGTGGGTGCTGGGCTCTGAACCCAATCCTTGTACTTCGGCAGTATACACTGACAGCACTATCTAAAGTCACTAGAGAGGACTGGAGAGCTATCTTTCGTATTTATACCTAAGACCATTACCTAGAAATCCTAACCGTTAAGTGAAAGTCCTTGAGTAATGAAACTATTGTATGTACTTGATCCTTTTTTTCTCTTTCTCAGAGAAGTAATACCTTTTAAATTGGTAATAGCCAATTTGATTTTCTACATAAAGAATTATCTGTGAGCATTCTTAATATTTTCTTTTTTTTGCCTGTATTCATCTTCACAAATATTAGCAAACCTTGTCTGGGTCTCCAGTTTGCTTTTATTATTAATGCCTATCTCTCTTTTCATCTACAAATATTTTTTGTCCATCTAGTTGTTACAGACAAATGATTAGAATCTATAATTTTAGCGCACTGGTTCAGTAGACATAGCTCACTTAAAGGGCAGCCATAGCAGCTCCGTGGCAGATTGGGAGGTCTCTGATGTGCAGAGGGGCATCTCCACACCAGCTGGTCTGGACTAGAGGGAAGTGTGGATGTTATTCTGCTGGAACGAAGGTGCTGGTACAATGTAAATACTTTTTACAGCTACAGCCAAGTGTGGACCCTAGTTTCTTTACTAAGAAGGAAAAAAAAGTGAAACAAACCAAAGAGTAAATTGTGTTTATAAAGGGGTCATGTTTAAATTAGTTTAGCCCGTACAGTTAATTAAACTGTCTGAACTTGTGTTTTTTTTTTTTTTGAGCAAACATGAAAACCATTATTTATGGAAAGTTTAAACATCACATAATACATACTCCCTTGGTGTGTGGTGTTCTTTTTTTAAAAAAAGAAAAACTATTCACTTTATTGTGTTTTTAATTTAACCTTCACTGTGCTAAAGATATTGTGAGTTCTTGGGAAGAAAGGTGCTTGGGCAAGGTGAAACTTGAACCAACAACAAAAGAAAAAAAAAGAAGTGTTTCCCTTAGGATTCCATAAAAATGTTTCCATCCTTTTAAAATTAGTTTCTTTTCCTTTTGTATCTTTTCTTGGTTGATGTGATCTTTCCAGAGCATGCCTAGATCCTGAGGTTCCCACTGGTACCTTCTTACTATTCCCTTCCCTTGACTGTCCAGCTTTCCACCTTGTCTTCAAGTTCACACATGCTGTCTGCTCCTTGAGCCACTCCGTTACTGAGATTTCTGCAGAACTTTTTACTTGACCACCGTGCCGTCATTTCCAGCATTTCAGATTGGGCTTCTCTTCAGTCGTCCCAGCCCACTCCCATACCTTGTATCACCATTTTTATTTCTTTCAGCTGTTGCTATTCTCAGTCAGGAGCTTATCATCTTGCTGTGTAACCTAGGCTAGCCCGGAACTCAGATCCTCAGTTCTCCACCTTTCAAGTGTTGAGATTACATGTTTCTTTATATGGGAAATAAATTGTGTGCTCTAGGCCTGAAGTATCTCTGCCTTCCAGACACATTGTAGCAGGAAGACCAGGCACGGGCGTGAGGGGAAGTGAGCAGGATCGCTGTTCTCGGATTTTGGTAATAGATGAGCAGTCAGTGGGACCAAAGTGACAGCCTGAGGGATACCGAGACAGTCCTTCAGCTAGTGATGGGACTGTATCTAAATAGAGACCAAGCAGCCCTGTGAAGTGCAGGGCCGGCTGACCCATCATTGCCCCAGCTCTGTGTCCACATGACTGTGGCCACGGGACTTACTTCTTCTAGGCTGGTCTAGAGCTTTCCCGATGCCCTCCCTCAGGTTGCCTGGAGGACAGCTTTGCCCTCTGATGTTACAGTTACCTCTTGGATTTCCTGCTGCCTTCCCCCACGAACTGGGAAATAACTGGGGTCAAGGACTTACGCCCTGGGAATCATATTGTATCTTTATAGCATTGGCTTTTAAATCAGGATAGACAGTGTGGAATCCACCACAACTCAAGAGTTAGATTCCTTAAGTGAAGCAGATTGAATTCTGTTTACTTACATTTTTTTAATTTGGCTATCTATCCTTCCCATCCCTCTATGCCAGCGTTTTGTATTTGTAAAGTGCAGGTTTTAGTGCACTATGAAAATGTCCCTTTCCTAATCTTATTGAAAACACCATTGTCTATTTAGTTAATGAAGACTAGAATTGCCCCTGCTCGTTTCCTCCCCACTGGCTGTCACACCAGTTTTGCAGCTGCTGTGTCTCACAGCCTAGCCGTGTTTTCACCATGTTTACCACTAACTCCAGCCGAAGGGAGCCATGTCCTTTACCTGTAGAACTGCTGCAATCTACTATGACCCAGCACATACACCTTCCTTATGTGCATTTTTATGAAGAAGTCTAATGTTTCTTCAAACTCCAACTTATAAGTCCTCCCACTTAAACACTGCAGTTCAAATGTAAAATTCGAACTACAAATGAATACGTGGATACATTGTACATACACGCATCCTGAAGAAAACTACACATGAATACATGGATACATTGTACACACACGCATCCTGAAGAAAACTACACATGAATACATGGATGCATTGTACATACACGCATCCTGAAGAAAACTACACATGAATACATGGATACATTGTACATACACACATCCTGAAGAAAACTACACATGAATACATGGATACATTGTACATACACGCATCCTGAAGAAAAGTTGGAATCCCTCCATTGTCACTCAAGATCATCTTCTCTTAGAAGCCGGGTGGTGGTGGCGTACGCCTTTAATCCCAGCACTCAGGAAGCAGAGGAAGGTGGATCTCTGTGAGCTCAAGGCCAGCCTGGTCTACAGAGGGAGTTCCAGGACAGGATCAAAGCCACAGAGAGAAACCCTGTCTCAAAAAAAAAAAAAAAAAGGCAACAACAACAAAGATGTTCTATGTATTTGCATGGATCTCCTGCTTGCCCTTCTTATGACCCATTATTCCCCAGTGTGTGTTGAGTGAAGTAGGACAAATCTAGTCAACCCAGTGAATACACACAGTGTACCCGGGGAAGCTAGAATACATACAGAGTACATACAGTGTACTCAGGGAAGCTAGAGTACATACAGTGTACCTGGGGAAGCTAGAATACATACAGAGTACATACAGTGTACCCGGGGAAGCTAGAATACATACAGAGTACATACAGTGTACTCAGGGAAGCTAGAATACATACAGAGTACATACAGTGTAACTGGGGAAGCTAGAATACATACAGAGTGCATACAGTGTACTCAGGGAAGCTAGAATACATACAGAGTACATACAGTGTACTCAGGGAAGCTAGAATACATACAGAGTACATACAGTGTACTCAGGGAAGCTAGAATACATACAGAGTACATACAGTGTACTCAGGGAAGCTAGAATACATACAGAGTACATACAGTGTACTCGGGGAAGCTAGAATACATACAGAGTACATACAGTGTACCTGGGGAAGCTAGAATACATACAGAGTACATACAGTGTACCTGGGGAAGCTATCACAAGCACAGTGATGTCATCAGCCAGTGCTCCAGGTGGCACCAGCAATGTGTAGTAGTGTGCAGCTGAGCGACTTGATGATCTCCATGACTATGGTTTGGGGAAGGAAACAGACAGTTTTCTAACATTTGTCCCCTTCTTGTCTTTGCAGAGTATGAGTTGGAAGTAAAGAGAGTGCAGGACATTCTTTCGGGAATAGAGAAACCACAGGTATGTCTTCTGGACCTCTCGGCAAGAACAGCATGTTCTTAAGTGTTCCCAGGGTGCTTGTCTTTTTGCTACACCATCAGTAAGCAGAAGGACCCCTTTTCGTTGCAAATATAATAAGTTTGAGACAGTACTCAGTTATTAATGGGTCGTGAAAATCTAGAACGGGATTCTTTGTAACCACCCACTGAACCACTACTTTAGTGCTGATGTTCTGAATTCAGTTAGAAGCATCTAGATTTTTGTGGGTCTACAGAACAGTTTGTTCTTGGTAATTTCTTTTTACCTTTGTAAAAGGAGGAAGAATACATTTTGAAAGCCTCAGAGGTCGCAGATATCTCCCTGGGTAGATTTCAGAGCCGTGTTTCTATACTAGAGGACGCTGGGCGCCATGGCAAGGGAAGAGGGCAGGACTGGTGGTATGCTAGACTGCAGTTCTGTGTGCCAGGTGTTTTGAAATTCAGCTAGAAATTTATAATGTTGATTCAACCTTTTTGTCCGAGCTAGAGCCAAAGTTTTGGGAGTGTTTTTCTGGCTGAATTGGAAAATCTTGATTCTTGGTCTGTTACAAAGACAGAGCCCTTTTAAGGGCAGACCTCAAATTGACCTCAGGCTCATCTGCACTAAACCAAGGAGCATGGTTATGTTGGGGGGTGACATTATAGGGCATTTGTCAGGGACCTTGGTGGAGACTTGAGACATTTGAACTCACTCTGGGCACGCAGTGGTCTTTGGGATTTCCCAGGCGAAGTTGCTAAGTAGTCAGGGCTGCATTTGCAGACTGGTCCAGGTTTCCAGGTGAGTTGGAAAGAGGATGGGCCGAGGAAGTGGGGCGGGGGGGGGGGAGTTTTGGGAACCTTCCCACTCCTCATAGTCCACAGGATGGGTAGCATGGGGTCCAGGAGTCAGAATTAGGTGGTTGTGTCCAATGTGGCAAGGAGGGCCAGATATTAAGTCCATTCTGAAAATAAATAGATTAATTGATTACCCATTTGATACCAAAAGTAGCTGGGCTTTTAGCTTCAGTGCATCCCCTCAACAGCTTCCCCAGTTGCTGCCCTTGCCACTTGGTGGGTGGTCCTTGTGGTCTATAGAACCTGGTGGGGCCTGCAGTCCCACTGTGGCCTGGATGTCATGGTCTGTAGTACCTCTGGTGGGGCCTCTAGTCTCACTGTGGCTGGATATCATGGTCTGTAGTGCCTCTGGAGGGGCCTGCAGTCCCACTGTGACCTGGATATATTCTTGCCATTGCTTAGAACACATTGCACTCGAGGGTATTTCTGAAGGTATCTGCACTCCCATTAGGGCGCACTCATCTTAGGCTCCTTTTGTGTTTTCCTGGCTGTTCCTGGACATATTAGGTATGTCTCACTTGCAGAACATCCAGAAAAATGAATATAGCACACAGTTGGGAGTGTCTGGTAGACTCAGTGCTGTGGAAAGAGGAGGACCAAGAGCAGAAACGGGAAACTGTAACATAGAGACGGAAGTCCACACTGTAGACACAGATGGGGGCTAGAAGTAAAGAGCAGGGAGGTTAGAAAAGGAGATGACTCAGCGGGCAGATGTGTGATGTGCAAACATGAGGACCCGAGCAGAAGGGGCAGAGAGAAAGGATGTAAGGATGGCTACAAGTTGATATACTTTACAGCTCACACCCAACACCCGCTCCCCAGTTAGAATCTGCACTGTGAAATAGGTCATAAGTCCAAGTTCTGGCAGTGAGCCCTTCAGAAGTAGACAATAGTTCACTAAGCCCGTGAGGCATTTTTAAATGGTTAACTAATTCCTATGCAGACTCACTCATCCACTTCCCAAAGACCCTTTGACATCAGTTACCTGTGTTACCAGAACTAACAATCAGCCCTTCTATCACTACTTCTAAAGGCATTGACTTCTAGTGGTTCCGAGGTCCATACAACTGTTACACTTCCAGAGATTCTCTGTAGCCATGGAGATCACTGTAGTGAACAAAAGAGCAGCATCCTGGGCTGCCCTGGTGATCAGCACTGCTAAGAAAGTTTTCACAAAGAGAGAAGTTGGCAAAGCGAAGTTCATGGCCACATGCTGTAAATAGACATAGGCTTGACCCCCCCCCCCCAGTCCCATCTCACCTTACCAGTCCAGCCCTGACCCACTGATGTAAACACATCTGGGGCTGAGGATTGACCCCCCGGGTGGCATTGTCTTCAAAGACAAAAACTAGTTTCCTGGAGTCCTTGTTGAGGTAGTAGTGACTTCTAAGTTCAAAGAGAGGCCCAGCACTCCAGTGGCCCTCAGAGCTTAAGGGAGGAATTCATAGGAACCTCTATCCTTAGGAAGCATGCTGCATTCCCAGTGTGCACTTGTGTTGGGAAAGCCCTTGGCTAGGTTGCAGGTCCACAGGTACTCACATCTCAAGGCTGGCTCGTAGTCTAGGGAGAAGTAAACACTATTAGCTGTTCCATGTAGCATCACATGTCTCTGCTCATTCAAATAGCTAAGTCTTCGAGGAGGAAAGTGTGTTTGTAGCAGTTGCTAGGAAGCGTGAACTTTGAAGGGTGTGAATTTATGAATGAGTGCTTGGTGTCTGAAACGCTGGCTTTCACGACTATTCTGAGGTGTGTAGTTCACACCACCAATCCTAGTGTCAGTGTCACTACCCACCTGGTTCAAGGAATGGTGCAAGGCTGGGTAGAATAACCAATAGGTCAGGATTACTCACGCAGGGGTGTGGGAGAATTCAGCATATGCCCTGGTCTACATGGGAAACTGTCTGAAAAGCTAATTGAAGAAACCAGCTAACAAGAGATCAGTGTCCCAGCAGTGAAATGACCACACAGAAGATAGAACATGTGGCCAGAGCACACCCAGTGCACAGACTGCCCTGCTATGTTCTCATGTTCTGTCCCCCGTCTACCCCAGAGCACACCCAGTGCACAGACTGTCCTGCTCTGTCCCCACGTTCTGTCCCCCGTCTACCCCAGAGCACACCCAGTGCACAGACTGTCCTGCTATGTCCTCATGTTCTGTCCCCCGTCTACCCCAGAGCACACCCAGTGCACAGACTGCCCTGCTCTGTCCTCATGTTCTGTCCCCCGTCTACCCCAGAGCACACCCAGTGCACAGACTGTCCTGCTATGTCCTCATGTTCTGTCCCCCGTCTACCCCAGAGCACACCCAGTGCACAGACTGTCCTGCTATGTCCTCATGTTCTGTCCCCCGTCTACCCCAGAGCACACCCAGTGCACAGAATGTCCTGCTATGTCCTCATGTTCTGTCCCCCATCTACCCCAGAGCACACCCAGTGCACAGACTGTCCTGCTATGTCCTCATGTTCTGTCCCCCGTCTACCCCAGAGCACACCCAGTGCACAGACTGCCCTGCTATGTCCTCACGTTCTGTCCCCCGTCTACCCCAGAGCACACCCAGTGCACAGACTGTCCTGCTCTGTCCCCACGTTCTGTCCCCCGTCTACCCCAGAGCACACCCAGTGCACAGACTGTCCTGCTCTGTCCTCATGTTCTGTCCCCGGTCTACCCCAGAGCACACCCAGTGCACAGACTGTCCTGCTCTGTCCTCATGTTCTGTCCCCGTGTTCTGCAGCCCGTGTACCCTGGAGCACACTGAGTGCAGACTGTCCTGCTCTGTCCCCGTGTTCTTGTCTTATCTACTTGTCTTGTTGCTGGGACAGAGTGAGAAAGGCAGCACAAGGGAGGAAGCGTTCACAGTGGCTCACACTTTGAAGTACGATAGCCCAGCAAGGTGGGCTGTGTCGGTGGCAGGCGCATGAGGCCGCTGGTCAAGGTGCATTCCTAGCTGGAAAGCAGGGGTGAAGACTGCTGTTACTCAGCTCATTTTCTCCTTTTTATCCAGCCTGGGACCCTGGCTCATTGATTGGTGCCACCCACATTCAGGGAGGTCGTCCCCTCACCTTGATGAATTTGATATCAATAATCCTTCGATCAGCAAACAGAAGCATGCTTGTTCCTTTGTAGAGCCTATCTTGATTACACACTCCTCGGACTTGTGAGCCCGGAAACTGTCCTGATCATCTCCGTCCAGAGCTCTTCACAAGGGCACTGTGACAACTCATGCAGAAATAAAGGCAACCTTTGACCTGCATTTAGAAGTTTGTTAAGCCTAGGGCAGCAGGAGAGACCAAAGCCAAGTCTGGGGCAGGAGAGTACCTTGGAGGGTGTGGATGGTCATTGTGCAGATCAGAGGGCAGGGTGGTTCCTGGTCCCACGTTCTGGCTCGTTAGGTGGTATAGTTGAGCGGAAGGCTGGCAGCAGGAGGGCTGTGGTCTGGAGCACCTGACTGGTCCTTTGATGATCTCTCCTGTGTCCAAGGAGATGCTACACATCGGCCTGTCGTTTGTTGTGCTGCCTCTATGGGAGACTAAATGTAGCCACGCGGTGGTGGTGCACACCTTTAATCCCAGCACTTGGGAGGCAGAGGCAGGTGGATCTCTGTGAGTTCAAGGCCAGCCTGGTCCACAGAGTGAGTTTTAGGACAGCCAGGGCTGTTACACAGAGAAGCCCTCCCTCAAAACAAAGTAACAAAGAAACTCGATGTGCCTTTTTCTCTCTGCTTTAGTCTTTACTCAGCAAACATTTGTTTAGCAGTCGCTGCTCATCGGTGATTATAACTTGGTTTGTGCCCTTAGGGGGCGCTAGAGTCCCTAGGTTGCGGATGTGGTTAGTAGTGGCTGCAGCCCACACTGGGTTCCTTAGAACTCAGGTGTGGTACTGAGTGGAGCGCGTGAGAGACTTCGAGGCTAGTTGGTGGCAGAGAGGTGAAGTTCTCCTGGGATCTCGAAGGATGCATGGGAATCTAGCTAATGCGCTGAGGTGTCGTGTCTGTACAGGACAGAGATTACATAGAAGGAATGTCTGCTGAAACTGAAGTAGGTAGCAGAGGGAAAAGCTGTGCTCAGCATTTATCTCCTTACCGTTTGTGCTTTCAAATTATTTTGAGTATATAGATTTCCATAATTTATATCAATCAGATAGTGGCAAAAATAGGAGAAAACAATAGGCCTGCATGGTTGTGTGTTCCCGCCAGGAGCTGAAATCGTCAGCTCTGAGGCCTCTGTGAACACTGAGCTTTAGCGTTGAACTGAGTCTCACTCCTCTTCATCCTAACGAGTTGTCCAGAGCAGGGCCCACGGTGTAGTCCTTAGAAATTAAAGTTTAGAAGTCTGTTGTTAGATTTGTATTACAGAATTAAGCCTTGTGCATTAGGTTAGGCATGAAAACAGAGTTGTATAATAGTTGTTTGGGAAGATAACTTTGAGAGCCTGAGATAGAGGGGCCGCTGAGGCCAGGCAGGGAAGGCAGCCAAGGCTAGACTTGTTCTAAACTGAGCAGACTGGAGCTCTGGGCAACAGAGTGTCCAGAGCTGCCTGAGGAAGCCTGGAGCTAGAGCAGACGAAGCAGTGGTGAGAGGAGACTGGGAATCCATAGGGCCAGTGTTACCTCCACAGGGTAGGTCAACTTCCAGTGGAGCGTGAAGGCTTCTAGAATATATTTGTTTACCTTGAAGTTGTCAGGCACAGGAGGCCTGAGTGTGTGTCAGACTTCGTGAGCCTGCACATTGAAGATGGTGCTGCAGGAGCTGAGTGTCCTTTGGCCCTCAAGCCTTTGACAGGAGAGCAACAGATAAGACCTTCATTAAAATTAAAGTTGCCTTGGATCAACTTTTGTGTTGCTGTTATTGCTAACAAACCCATAACTCAAGGCAGCTGCGCTGGAGCGTGTAGAATGCATGTAGAATGTATGTAGAATGCATGTAGACGCTTTAACCCGCCCCTCCTTCTGTTTTCAGGTGTCAAACATCCAGGCAAGAGCAGTTGTGTTGTCCTGGGCACCCCCTGTCGGACTGTCCTGTGGACCCCACGGTGGCCTTTCCTTCCCTTACAGCTATGAGGTTGCCTTATCAGACAAAGGGCGAGATGGAAAATACAAGATCATTTACAGGTAGTGTATGTTTCCACGCGGGTTTCATCACTACTAAATTGCATCACTGAAAAGAAAAAATAGGAAATTTAGACTATACAAATGTCATTTTAAGTCAGTAATTTTAAACATTAGTAATGACAGGGCTGAGGGGATAGCTCACTGGCAGAGAACTCGCCTACCGTGCTTGAGGCCTTGGGTTCACCTCTCAGTACTGGAAAGAGGGATGGTAATTATAATGTTAGGAATTAATTAATTTTATAATTATTGATCATAAATTAATATTATAGGGCTATGTGGTAAAATAAATTTATAGTACTATTGCCAATATAGTATTAATAAAAATTTTCTACCAAGGTCTGTCAGGACGAAAAGTGACTAAATTTTTCAGTTACTACATATATTAAGTGTCTATGAAGTGAATTATGTTAGAGCCAATTCTTTTTCTAGGCCTGTGTTAGTTAGGATTCTATTTCTGTAAAGAGACACCATGGCCATGGTAACTCTTATAAAGGAAAGCATTTAATTGAGGTGGTGTCTTACTCTTCAGAGGTTCAGCTGATTATCATCATGGCAGGGCGCATGGCAACATGCAGACAGGCATGGTGCTGGCTACATCTAGATCAGGAGGCAACAGGAAGTGGACTGTGACACTGGGCAGTATCTTGAGCGTGTAAAACCTAAAGCCCGCCTCCATGGTGGTACTTTTACTCCAACAAGACCACACCTGTTCCAACAAAGCCATACCTCCTAATAGTGCCACGTACGCCCTGTGAGCTTGTGGAGGCCAATTGCATTCAAACTACCACAGCCTGTTTTTTGAAAACTACAAACTACAATATTTTCATTTCCATTTTGCCCTGCCTTTTACCCTCTATACTGCACTAAGGTTACTCTAAAACATGTTGTTATGAGGCTTTATTAAATGGTCCTGCGTTGAGTTCACCCCCTGTTTTAAGGAGCCGCACACGTGGGGCTGATCTGGTGACTGAAGCTGTTTTCTCAATGTCATGGAAAGGTTAGGGTCAAGTCCTTTCTCCTTCATACAGCTCATGTTTGTAGAGCAAGAAATCAGAAAGTCAGGTTTGTCTGAACTCCTTGTTGAACCTGCCTGTGGGTGGCCCTGATGAGCTGTGCACAGCGGTGTAACTCACACGAATCCCACGTGTGTCTCACACAGAAGCCATGACGAGCTGTGCACAGCAGTGTAACTCACACGAATCCCACGTGTGTCTCACACAGAAGCCATGATGAGCTGTACACAGTGGTGTAACTCACACGAATCCCACGTGTGTCTCACACAGAAGCCCTGATGAGCTGTGCACAGTGGTGTAACTCACACGAATCCCACGTGTGTCTCACACAGAAGCCTTATTTTTCTTCAGTTCTCATCCCATCGATACCATGCAGCGTTGCCCACTTTCTCTTCTGCCTTCATGGTGTGCTGCCCAGATGAGCTGACTTGTGGACTAGAAAAGAGAGGAAAAGGACCATCCTCTGCTGACCATTTCTCTTGCCTCCAACTCTTCTCTTTGGTCCTTCCTTGGTCCCTGCTGTGTCCCCTGACTTTCCCGCCCCTGCTCTCACCCTGGCATCATCTGACCTCTTTCCTGTAGAGCCACACCAGAGACCATGGGTGGCATCACTGCTTTGCAAGAACACTCTAGAGATTGCTCTCTTTGCTTGGAATAAAACCTCAGTCGGGTGCTCAGTGGAAAAACATAGAGCCTCCACGTCCTCACTCAGAAATTAGAGACAGGGAAGGCAGACTTGCTTTATTGCCCAGGCTGGCGAAGAACTCATGTGATCCTCGCCCCTCAGTGTCTCCAGGAGCTGGAGCTATTGGCATAGAGTATGGGTGTACACCGTTGCCCCCAGTTGGCTGCATCCTGTTGATTAGAGATGAGCTCTGGAGCTAGCAGCTGGAGTCACGAGTACGCCCAGGAGCCTGGCAGGCGGTACAATGCAGCATGGCTTGCAGGAGCCTGGCAGGCGGTACAATGCAGCATGGCTTGCAGGAGCCTGGCAGGCGGTACAATGCAGCATGGTTTGCAGGAGCCTGGCAGGCGGTACAATGCACCATGGTTTGCAGGAGCCTGGCAGGCGGTACAATGCAGCATGGCTTGCGGTTGGAAGCCTGTCTCTGCTCAAAGGGAGCCCTTGCCCCTCAGCTTCAGTTGTCAGGATTTGTTGATTCTTTGGAGATTTTTACTCTCCAAGAGATGCTAAAGCTCTCAATGCCTGTGTTGTTTTCCTCATGTTGACCTAGTCCAGCAGATAACAAGACATTTTCAGTTGCAATGCAGGTCGAGCTGCAGCTGTAGGCTAGGTGTGGTCATAGCTTCTGGCTTGAAACTTAACAGGAGCAGCTTTATTTGAGAAGTTCAGACATCAGACATCAGGTATAAGAACGGATGCGGGCAGCTGTGTTCCGTCACTGACCTTTCACCCTCGTATCTTGGCTCGCTGTGTCTTTGTCTCTGTGTGTGATTGTTCTCATGTGTTTTATCCATTGCAACCCTTTACCACTAAGTATGTCATGTTTTCTGAGCACAGGATGTTTTTGTAGATAACCATGTTGTAATTATCAATTTTATTAATACATGTCACTCCAGAACTTTCTTCTAACCCATTATCTTGATCCAATTTTGCCAGCTGACCCTATGAGTCTCTTATTTTGAAAACTATGTCTCAATTTGAAAACCATAATAGTGATTTATTCCTTCAGGACAGTGTCAGATAATATACTTAGTTGTCTAGTCTATTTTAATGGGCCATTTCATAATTTTAAAGAGTGAGAAATAAGGTATGGACACACGCGTACTTCAAAAAATATTAAATCAGTGTTTTGCTGTGTAGTTCCCTTGCCTGTCCTTAAATTTCCGATTATGCTGTCTCAATATCCTGCGTTCTGTATTCCAGGTGTGTTCCCACAGCTGGCCTTTTGGCAACAATTAAACAGAAATGCCTTATTTTGAATGGGTTTTTCCTTTATCACTTAGGTTGAGCTCAGTTTCCTCTTTTGGTCATAGAAGTGGTTTTACTTATGTCAGAGAACTGTTTTGGGGGGACCTGGGATGAACTGCAAGTTCATTAGGGGAGGGGGCTGTGCTGAGGGCATCAGGGTTTCTGTCAGGCTGAGTCTGGAAACCACCTTTGCCAGACAGCTGGCGTGTTTCCTTGCAGATCTACCTGTTTGTGTACATATTTGCTTTTATGTCTTGGTTTAGAAAGTCATAAAGACATTTAAAACTTAATCGACTTTGTTATATTTTAGATCTGAGTGGTGTCACTCAAAAGACTCTGATTTTTAATTTAAAAAAAAAAATAACTGACAACCACCAGATAAGGTTTGTGTCTGGGTTTTGGTGAATGCGATCTTAGCAGCACGTAAGTTACTGTTGACTAATAACCATGAAACCCAGTCCCAAAGCCTTTGAGACCAATGTTAAACTAACAAATACTTTGTTGTTGCAGTGGAGAAGAATTGGAATGTAACCTGAAAGATCTCAGGCCTGCCACTGATTACCACGTGAGGTGAGTTAGGAGCCAGCCCTGGCAGTAGCTGCAGAGCCCAGATGGCCACCATACATCCCATGCCCTTCAGAAAGCTGGTGTTGAATGGCGCTTCCTCGTGGAGGGCGGGGCCAGAGCCATGGTCATTTGTTCACTCTCTGTACACAGCAGAGCAGCTTTGAGGACCCAGCACTTTTCTGTTTTGTTTGTTGTTTGGAGGAAGGGCCTCTGTAGCCAGGGATGACTTGAACTTCTGCTCTTCCAACCTCTGCTTCCCAAGTGCTGGGATTGCAGGTCTGGGCCACGACGCCCAGTTCCACACAGTGCCCTCTTTCCAGTTCTTACTATTACCATTTCCATTGAGACCTACAGAAATCTTGGCACATAAATATTTTGTTCCTAAATTATGTGCTGAAGTTACATGTAGACTTTCTTGTTACTGTGTTTTTAATGATGGAATTTCCTGGAGTTAATGTGCGGACCCCATCACTGCCTGCTCTTCCGAAGGTCCTGAGTTCAATTCCCAGCAACCGCATGGTGGCTCACAACCATCTGTAATAAGGTCTGGTGCCCTCTTGAGAAAGAGACCTGGTCCGTCGTCCTCATCAACTTAGACCATGAAACCCAACACAGACAAGTCCAACAGAACCGCCATATACGGGCTGCCCATGCCTGCTTCAGCATCGCAGGGCATGGATTTCATTCAGTTTCAGTGTGCAGAATAATGGGCCTCGTTGTGATATTTTCATTTGTCCTTGCACTTTGTTCATTCTGTTCCCATTTCTTCTCACTGGCTCTCGTCCTCTGCCTCAGGTTTCCTGTGATTTTTCTGCTTGGATTTACCCTTCCCGCAGATTGTCTGCTGTCTTTGCATAGCTCTTTTCCTGGCTTTCAGCTCTCTCACCCTTTATGAGGACTGAGGGGCTACAGGAAGCTTGGTTTTCTAAGTAGGGAGTTCCTCTCTGGAATCCCAGCCAAACTGCCGCCAATCAGTGGAGTTTCCTGGGACCAGGACATCCTCTAGGCCATGCCGCCAATCAGTGGGGTTTCCTGGGACCAGGACATCCTCCAGGTCATGCCGCCAATCAGTGGGGTTTCCTGGGACCAGGACATCCTCTAGGCCAGCTGTCAATCATGTGCTGCTTTTATTAGCATTGCCATCTGAACCATGTACTGTGTGGAAAATTATATCCAAACTCATTTCATGTTTAAAAAAAGTTTTCTTTCTCATTTTTATAAACATACATGTGGTATTTCTGCAAATCTGTTCCACCATGATGTTTCTATTACTATTATAATTGAAGCAGAATACCTTTATGAAATGATGCATTGATTTATAAAACTTAAGTCTTTTTTAGAGTTTTATACAGATAACAATTTTAATTAACTGATGTAATATTTTAAGAGAATCAATTTATAATTATCAAGGTATAATTAGTGCTTCCATTAGACATATACTATTACGTGTTTAAATCTGGTTTTGTTTTGGCCTGTGGAAAGATGTTTCAGTCACTAAGGGAGATCCTGAAACACACATTAAACAGACAGCCACCACAGCATGTGGTTGCAGTGTCAGTGCTAAGAAGTCTGGTCCCTGGGACTCCCTGCTAGCCTACCCCGCTACCCGGGTGAACCCCAGCCTAGGAGAGACTGAGAGGTAAGGTAGACAGCATTCCAGAGGAAAGGTGCCCGAGCTTGAGCTGCTGTCTACGGAAATACTTACACACATGTGCACCTGCACACACATGCACCTCTATACACGTATTTTAAAGGAACGAAGAAAATCATGTAAAAAAATACCATTGTAAGTACTCATGCTTGACTACACACACACACATTTCTATAAATAAGCATTTAACGATCTGCAAACGTGTGCTCCAGGCATTGCTCAGAGGAGTGTCTCCTCCTTTAGTTGTCAGGGTTATAGTTAACACGGTATTAAGATGGTTTCTACTGTGCGAACCTGGGACCCAGACCTTAGAGACTGTCTCTTGAGACGCCTGTGCCGACTGCAGGGCATGAGCCGCTGTCATCGCTGTCCTTGCCCCCTTTCTTTTGCCTGTGCTTCAATCTATAAAAAAATAAATTCCAGCTTTGTTTCAAAAACAGGAACTACTATTTCTGTCAGTAGTAGCCCCGCCGGGAATTTGAATGACGGGATAGACAGCAAGCCCACGACAAACTTGGCGGCACTTTTCAGTCACCAGTGTAGCAGTGTGCCCAGAAGTGACATAAGGGGATGACATTTCCCAGAAGAAAATGATGTGCTGAACCATTTCTAAAAGCCTGGTTGGCCAGCCCAGAGTGAAGTTATGAAATAGGTTCTGCTTCCGGGAGACTCTGGCTTTTAGGATGTCCCAGACGTGTGAAAAGGAGCTACGAGACTGTTGGTGAAATTCTTGGAGCACCTGGTTCCTAAGTGTTTGCCTGGCATTGGCATGGAACCCTGTGGAACCCCAACACAAATCAGTTATGCAGGAAAATGTTCTGGTTTGGGAGGTGAAGTGCAAAAGAAAATCCAGCTGATTTATTTAACCCGAGAAAATTCTCCTGTGCTATAGATCTTCCCGTTACAGGACATTAGGGAAAACATATCAGATTATTAATCTGTTTAATCTATTTATTTATTTATTCATTTGAGGGAAGGTTGCGCATGGAGATCAGAGGGTAGCTTGCAGAAATGGATTCTCGCTATGACATGAGTTCCAGGGGTCAAACTCAGGTCATCAGGCTTGGCGGCAGGTCCTTTAACCACTGAGCCATCTTGCTGGCCCCTGGAATATTTAGTATATATGTCATTTTCAAAGATTTCACTTTTTATAGACATCATGGGTGAGAATGTAGCAAGCCTCTGTTAACAGTTATAATTAGTTGCTATTTATTTGCTGAACAGTTTTGATGAATAAATAATCCTGATGTGATAAAATAATGTATCAATTTTTACTATCTGCAGCACACCAATGGCATGCTTTAAAATTAACCTCAATTTTCCTTAGCTTGTATGTGTGAAATCATTGAACTTCTCATTTAAACAGCTGTCCCTTTTTGGAGAGGGGTTTGCTGGAGATTAAGCCCAGGGCCCCATACATGCTGAGCGCACACTCTCCCACCAGGGTCCACCCACGGAATTTAGCAGCTGCCACAGTTAAAGATGAGCAGCGTAGCTTCATGTGGTGCATATAACCACCTCAGACTTTTACTTCTGCCTTCGGGTTCTTTTTCTGCCAAACTCTGTTTTATCAAATATCCTGAAGTCAATATTAAAGATTATGTATTTCATTTTAAAATAATGTTACCCTCTTCACATGCCACTTAAAACACAATAGTAATTCTTAGTATCTTCAAAACTCGAAGATTGCTCACTTTTCCTCAGGTGTCCTAAAAATGAAGGGTTTACTTTCTTTAAAGTTTTTTGTTAGGAAAATTCAGATGTAGCCTGAATATGTTATTTGGTTAGTGGATCTCAAATTTCTTTAACTCCATAGAGTTTCCTTTAGGTCCTTATGACTGTATTGGGGTCATTTTGTGACCTGTGGAGTATGCCGTACTCGCTTTAGATGACTGAGGCTTCCCTGTCCTCTGAGTTTCCAGGAAGGTGACAGTGACCTATACTTAGATCTACATGTAGATTTATATATGGTGGCCTGTCCTCTTCACTTATCTTCTGTTTGTGCATCTTACTCTACAGCATAGGCTATAGTCTTACTATACAGCACAGGCTACAGTCTTACTATACAACATAGGCTATAGTCTTACTATACAGCACAGGCTATAGTCTTACCCTACAGCACAGGCTATAGTCTTACCCTACAGCACAGGCTATAGTCTTACTCTACAGCATAGGCTATAGTCTTACTATACAGCATAGGCTAGCCTAGAACTCATTTTATAATTCGTTGGTTTCTATTGATGTGATAAAACATCATTACCAAAAACTACTTCGAAAGCAATAAGTTTATTTCAGCTTTCACTGTTTTTGGAGCGTGGGTGTCGTCCCAGGTATCCTGGAATTTGGCCTTGAACTCAAAAATCTATCTGTCCCCGCCCCTGGAGTGCTGGGGTTAAAGGCATGCACCTCCAGACCTGGCTCGAGGTTGAAACTCTTAGGCCACACTGAGGGAAGTCAAGGCAGGAACTCGAGACAGTAACCTGGAGGTAGGAGGAACTGAAGCAGAGGCCATGGAGAAAGCACCCCTATAGTTTGCACTCCTGGCTTGCTCAGCCTGTTTTCCTATGCGATCTAGGGACCACCCACCCAGGAATGGCACTGCCCACCATGAACTTTGATTATTAAGCAATGGGACCCTACATTAATCATCAGACAAGCTAATGCCCCACAGGCTTGTCTACAAGTCAGTCTGATAATGGGATTTTCTCCATGAGGTTCCCTTTCCTCAAATGACTCTAGCTTGTGTTACACTGACAGAAGACTGACTAGGTTAGTAGCTCAAGGCACCTTTGAACTAATGGTCATCCCACTTCGGCCTCCTTCATGCAAGAACCAGGCCTGCACATAGTGCTAAGGTGCTGTGACCATGGACTGGGGATACACGGCATCTGACTGTCTCCAATGTGGTGATCTTCATCTAAATCCTAAAATTCATAGGTACTGATATTTAAAGACACCAGCTCCCCCCATACACGTATCCTGGTCTAGGCACAACCTTACAACTTGCATAGGAACATTGTGACAAAGTTTAAGCTTGGATCCCACCATGTCTGCAACAATTCATTAAAGTCCATCCTGACATGTGGACGTGATCTTGGTGGGTCACTGCAGTTTGGTTTTGTGTTAAACTGTTCATCTTACACTGTGTGCACAGAGGAACCTTTTCTCAGTTGGGCAGGGAGCAGTCTCATAATTGGTATCATTTCTTTGCCTCAAATGCTATGATGTCCTCCCAGAAGGCAAGCAACACAAATACAAGGTGGATTCTTACATTGCCTTTTAGGATCGGGTCTACATTTGTGCTTAGCATTTTTGCTAAAACCAGGCACATGCGTTGAATGCTGAGCCAAGTGCTTCAGAGTGCCGAGAGAAAATCATTAGCCTCGGTGCTGTGCGTGGGCATTACATATGCATGTGGATGGACTGTTCTGGAATGCTGTCTCTGTTGAATTGCAGAGAGGTGCATTTGGCAGTGGCCCGCAGGTTTCTCGGGAAACGCATCCGTATTTGTACGTAGATGTCCACGGTGCTCTGAGTAGTGCTGAGGTGTCTGCCCTGTTCTTCCGTGCATTCTCTGCAGCCTGTGGACTCTGATCGCTGCCTCACATGCCTTCCCGACAGCTCCTAGCTGGTGCACTTCTCACCTTTTCTAGACAGCCAGGCCACGCCTGTTGGCATTTAGAGTGTATATATGGAAGCCGCTTTGGGAGTGAGGCTCCACTCTGATACGCACAATGTCTTTTCCAGCCAGCAGAGTTACCTCCATTGCAGTGGGGCTGGGTGGGAACCGGCTGAATGAGATGGTTGTCGCTGTCCTTCCTGACCAGAGCGAGGCAAGGACACCAGCGCAGTGTGCTCCTGTGTCAGGACTCTGCTCTGCTGTGGAGAGCCCAGGAAGCAGAGCTCTCATTTACTGATGCTCATTCTGCCTCTCCATTTTCTTTGCAGGGTATATGCCATGTACAATTCTGTCAAGGGGTCCTGCTCTGAGCCAGTCAGCTTCACCACCCACAGCTGTGCACCAGAGTGCCCCTTCCCTCCCAAGCTGGCGAACAGGAGCAGGAGTTCGCTCACCTTGCAGTGGAAGGTGAGTATAGGGCCAAGAACGCGCTCCGGCTCATGGGAGGCAGTCAGCGGCTGTTCCAGACAGCCCGCTTGCACGGGGACTCGGGTTCCTGTGTAATCGCCACGTGAACCCAGTTAGGTGTATCAGAAGTTGATGTTTGCGTGGCAGGCAGAGGCAAAGGAGGTGGAGGAAGCACCTGCAAGATCCAATATGAACATCTTCTCAGGAACTTGGTAGATCTCCCAGTGCATCCTGGGTGGTATAAATACCTCCGTTTCATCACTCTCCTACTAGAGTTCATTTCTACGGTCATTTGGAAACTTCAGCATGCAATGTGAAGGTTTACAGATAAAGTAGGTTTGAGTTCTTAGAGCTTCTTCCTAAGATGAAATACTTAATAGTTAAAGCTTCCCAGAATATATTGTGTTCTATACTCCATTAAGACTCGATTAATTTTCACTAATTAGTCATTAGCTCAATCAGGATTCCTATTTTTAACAGCCTGAACCATGTAGTAGCTCTCATAAAATACAGTATACTGTCTAAAAATAACCATTGCCTAGCAAGCGGTCTTAGGTGTGTTGCATCTTTAAAGTTAACCTGTTAATCACAGTTTCATGTTTCCAAGCAAACAGATCATTGCATCCTTTCCAGTCATTATTTCTCTGTCTTGATATCTTAAAATGTCGTTAGAAACTGTCAGGCGGATGGAGGTGATGGAGGACTATGGTCCAGAGAGTGGGGGTGAGAGGTTCCGGGAGAGAGAAGCGAGTGACAGCGTACATGTCGCCAGGCTTCTGTGTCCTGGTGTGTGTGGCCATGCGCTCATAGTCAGTGGCTGACATTGACTGTGTTGTTGGGACAAAGGCAAAATTGCAACTGGCTTAGACTCTGAACTTTTTTATTTTCCTTCCTGGCTTCCAGGGATAATCCAGGTCAGTGATTTCCCACCTTTTCAGAGTTTTAGCACCCGACAGCTCATCATGGTTGGTTAATTCCTTGGCAATTACATATCCATTTAAAAATGAGTTTACGTGAGTTAATAAAAATCTATCTTTTCCGAAGGAAAGATTTAGAATCTATTTCTTTTGAAAAAAAATATAAGCAATCTGAAGATCACCAGAGGGACCCTGGGGTCTTACAGGTTTAAAGCTGGGAATCACTGATACAGCTCTGCTCTGCTCGGGTGGTATTCGGGTCTCAGGTGGACCAGCAGCTCCCAGAGAGGTCACTTGGAGGCCAAAAATACCCTCTTCCATTCAGTTATTGGCAAACATAAGGTGGCTCTGGATTCAGCTCAGTGTCTAAGTGTTTAAGTGGCTGCCACCTGTTCTTTACTCCAGAAAGAAACTAAGAAAGCCAAAGAATTGGGTTCTCCTGAAAGTTTTGCCAGTTACTTAAAAGTTCACCTACATCCCTACCCTACCCTGCTGCCCAGACTCACCAGAGCTCAAAGCACCAGGTCCCAGCTCACAGCACTTACCTGCAAGCTGGTTCAGCAGGAAGGAGGGAGGGAGGGGAAGATGAGACCTTAGCCCTTCCAGAGCCCTGATGATAAAGTAGCAGCTGTCGTGTGCTGAGTGCTTCTTATAAACCTGGGTGTGCTCCTGGGTGATGTATGTGTAGTCTCCCAGTTACCCATCGTGGATCTTCAGTCTTGAAATGAAATTTCCGTGTTGATATTAAACAGATCACACCAGACTACTGGCAAGCAGACAGCTGGGCTGGGGTTCTGTCTGCAAGGGTGTGGTAGAGTTCATTGGGCCCACATCTCTCTCTCTCTCTCTCTCTTGAGAAAGAACCAAGCCCAAGCACATTTTTGAGACAAGATAGGCTCCTACTGTTTGCCTTTTATTTTGTCTGTTTTTTGAGGACTTTTACCCTGAGTGCTGCGATAACTCAGTGGTGTCACCCCTTCCAATAGCTCAGGCTCTGTAAAGTGCTCTTTCCCAGAAAGCTCTCATTGCCTTGTTGAACCTTGTCTTCCCAGTGACACCGCTATCAGCTCTCTTTTATGAGCACAGGAAATGACGGTGCCTGTTTTTGCTAACATGTGAAGGGCTAGTACTCTCTGGTAGTCTATCCAGAGGATGTAATCTCTCCTTTTGTGCGCGTGTGCTTGTGTGTGCATGTGTCTGTGTGTGTGTGTGCTTGTGTGTGTGCGTGTGTGTATGGCACACGTGTGTGCGGGGGGGAGGAGGTAGAGTGGGGATGGAGGTATTTAATTCTACGGCTGGTTCTCTAATCCTAAGTACCTAAAGGAAAAGTAGAACAAAACAAAAATCCAAAACTCTGAGGGGAAGTCACAGAATGGCAGGCGCGAGCGCTCCTGCCCCAGCTCCAAGCAGTGTCCTGAAGCACAGCAGTCTTTTGTCTCTTGCTACACTGAACCTAAAGTGACTCCTCAGAGTTTTGTCTTAGGGACGCAGGGTGCACGGTAGCATGTGCACGGTAGGGCAGGAGCATGGTAGGGGTGGGACTGGTTGCTTTACTGTCCCAGGAGGCCAGCTGGGGTTGAGCCCTCCTAAAGCTGAGCTGTACAAGTTAATAGGTAATACTGTCTACCAAGGCCCCGCGGCAGCTGCTGGTTCCTTCTCTGAGGGGATAGCATGGAGCCATGACAGCCACTGTCTTTGACCATGTTGCTCGCTTGTCTCTGAGCAGCTTTCTCCAATCTCATTTCATTATTTTCTTTTTTAGGCTCCAATTGACAATGGTTCAAAAATCACCAGCTACCTTTTAGAATGGGATGAGGTAAGCATCTTTCTACGTCCATCCATCCAAAATGCCATTTCAAAGATACTGGTCTTTCCTGAGGCGTGTCAGACAAAGGAAATGCCACATCAATACAGACATTTTGCTCAGGAGCTGCCGGCATGGAAAAGCAGTTAGATTGCAGCAGCACAGCGGAGCGTGCATTAAAATAAATCTACCTGCTCTATGCATGCAGTGCCACTGAAAGCCGAGGTCTTATCTATTCTGCATTAATTTGTAGTAGCATTGCTTGTCTTCTCCCCACTGCATGGGTGGTTTCGATAAGACAAAGCCTGCTGTTTGGGAAGCATGCTTTAGTTTCTTTCTTGTGTGACATGGTGGTCTTCCTTGTATCTGTCTGGGAGTGGAACAGCGCCTGCAGTCTCGTTCATGTCGTGCATGAGTCCCTGTGGATTAGACCATCGTGGACAGGGACAGTGCCCACGGCCTCTCTGTCCTCCAGACACCCAGAACCTCCTGCAGGAGAGTGTGCGTGGCCGCTTCTTGCCCCTGGCAGTTGGCCTAGGCCGTCTGTTCCTGTAGATCTGTCTCGGCTGCATTCATTCCATCCATCGTGCCTCAGTCTCCTTTGCTGTGGTTTGGGAAAGGGCCTAAGGACTTAAAAAATAGAAAATGTAAAAAAGAAGAAAGAGCGGGGGAGTAGTTGAAGTTAACTAGTCTTTGTGACTTGAATTCGAAGAGATTGAAAATGAATGTATGCATGAGCAAAAACATGACTTGTCAGGTGAGGACAACTTAAAAAGGGAACATTTTAGATGCATAAAATAGTTAGCGATGGCTTTTTGAAGTGACACACGGGATCTTCACTGCTTTCTGTCGGCTGTCTTTGCATTTGGGCTGCATCATAACAGCTTTGAGTAACCAAGGATAATTGCCATGGTGGCCATAGAACCTTACAAGTCCCTCATAGGTAGAGATAGGTGAAACCTCTGCCTTTCCAAAGATCTCCATTGTAAAGTGGTTTGAGCGGCCAATGGAATTCTGCGATAGCCCCGGGCTGTGTATATAACCCTGTATGTGCACCAGCAGAGACCCGGATGCTGTTCCTCAGGACCATCCATCCTGCTTCTAGAGAGAGGGCATCTCATGTGTTCGGTTCAACAATTAGGCTAAACTGGCTGGCCCTCCCCAGTCTCTGCCTCCCCAGTGCTGAGATCACAAGCTTGTGGCACTGGGATTTTACGTGGGTTCTGGGGATCAAACTCAGGTCTTCACGATGCTGTCAGCACTGTACCAGCTAAACCACCTCCTTATCCCCTGTGTGTGGCTCTTTGTCCCATGCTTTTTGCTGTTTGTCTTCTTGGGACGGTGACAATCTAAGGTCGGAAAACTCAGGAAAAATGAGTGGAAAAATCTCCTAGGTGGACCCCCAAAGGAGCCAGCGGTGGAAGGGCAGCTCCCTCCTTCCTGTAGGGTTGGTGCGCTCCCCACCGTGGACTGGTGGTCATGAGTTTACAGTGCTTAGCTGGGGTTTTTGCCCCTTCTCCTGAGTGGTCTCCTTTTTTCTCCCTCCTTCATCCTCTGCCCTCTTGATGTTTCTTTATCTCTCCTCTCCAACCATCCCACTCCTGCTGTTGTTGGCTCTGCTGACATCTGCTGGATACCAGGCTGCCCCCTACAGGCCAGCAAGGGCTCTCCTTGTGCTCGGTGGCTTCACGTTTGCCTCCTAAGGTGTCAGCCAGCCCCGGCAGCAGAGGATCACAGAGAGCACAGACTAGGAGGAGGACCTGTCCCAGCTTCATAGCAGGTGGCTCAACTTCTAGGCCTTCAGATACCCGGTCTGTGAGTGGCAGCAAGGACAGTCATCAGCTCGCAAGCTTCCGTGCTGTCAGTGTGGGTGGCTTGTGCTCTCCTTTTCTGATCAGAGTATTCGGGTATTGTTCTCAGTGTTATTCATGTACTCATTTACTACTTATTCATTCTTGGCGCATGCCCCTTCCTGCCTCCACATGGCAGACTGTGAGGGAAGAATGATGAGGAAGGTGGCCCCTCCTCCCTGGTAGCTGAGCAGGCTCCCAGGTGCTTCTCCTGTGTACTTCTGAGCATATGTAAATGATATGCAAATAAGGCCAACCTAGCCAAAGGCTCCACATTTTTTCAGCTAGTTGCCTCTTTGTTTTATACCCCATGTTTCTCCTACAGTCCACCTAAAAAGGTTGAAAAATGGTTTCTAGGAGTTCATGGCAGTGGGACTACATACAGTAGTAACTAGTTCATCCTGCCCAGTTTATCATTTTAGAAGTGAAATTTCTACCAAAATAATCTAGTACTGTTGTTTCTAAATGGGACCAGAGGATCAGTGGCCATCCTCGGAGTGGCTCGCTTGAGTTTGAATTCCCCATGCTGCCCAGGCCCTGGTTCCAAAGCTGATATTCAGAGAAGGAAAATGGCGTCTCACCTGCAGGAAGTGAAAACTTATGAAGCCCTGACTGCCCCTCTGAAACCTTCTGGAAGTTTCTAGAGCCAGTGCACCTGGTGCAGGGTTGTTTCTAGTCTCTGCCCTAGTACAGCATGGTGGTGTCAGAGACTGGGAGATGGCCATTGTGCTGCAGCCAGCCCTGCCTGCTCAGCCCTCCCAGGAAACATACCTCCCATCGCCTCTCCAGTGTCTGCCTCAGCCGCACACCCAGAGGCTTGACTGTCCAGGGACTGGAAGTAAACCTGTGTAGAGAAAAATTGTGGGGGATGGAGAGGAACAGATCACTGCCCAAGAATAAGATGGGTGAAAAATGTTGTTTAAAAAAAAAAAGGTCATGGGAGTAAGGTTGTTCTCTGCAGAGCCTGACAGTCTGAATCAGTCTCTGGACCTGACATGGTGGAGGGAGATAACACCTTCACGTGTCCTCTGACCTCCGTGTGCATGCCTTGCACACATGCACACACTTGGAGACACATGCCGAGGCAGTAAATAAATGTAAAAACGCTTTTTAAAGATGGATGAGTCCCAAGGTTGTGCTGAGGAAGCTCACTGGGCCAAGGGTGCTAACCTGGAAGGAAGGTGCTCCCCTCCGCATATGTACCATGTATCCTGGTGTCCTCTGGAGTCCCAGGCTTTAGCACTCAGCACAGCACGGCGGCCCCTGGAACCTAGATGGTCTAGGCAACTCCGTCTAGAATCTCCAATAAGGCGATGAGGAAACATTTGGAAGTATTGATTCCTGAAGTTCGGCTCTCAGGCCTCTCCACGAGGTCTTCTGGAATAAAGCCAGGCCTTGGGCACTGCACTGCAGGGGATGGGAAAACTCAGTGGGGACCCGAAGGGGACAGAGCAGCACCAGACAACTCTTATTCAAGCCTGTGGCCATTTCTTCCTCATAGAGTTCACTTGAAAAGTTACTTGTGGGCTTCAACAAAAGACTGGGTCATTTTTCTGCCCTAGTAACTAACTTGGTAGCTCCTCAGTTTTTAAATCCATGTGGAATAACCAACTATGAACATCTAAGAATGGAACCTTCTGGAATCCTTGTCTTCTCAGCCGTGAGATCAGTTTTTCGCTTGATGTGGGTTGGTTTTCATTATTTGAAGTAGTGTGGCTTTTCCTGACCAAACAAGGGTCCTGCAGCTGTGACTCATGTGACCTTTGGACTTTGAGAATTTGTCCCTGCCTGTTTGCAGATAAGTGTCCTGCCAGAGACCCAGCCAAGAAGGGTGTCTTAGGTGACCATTACTGTGACAAGAGGCCATGGCCAAAGCTTTTGGAAGGACAGGACTTATACCTCTGGGGCTTCCACATCACTGTTCATCATTGAAGGATCAGGACAGGAGCCAATGCAGAAACCAAGGAGTGCTGTTTACTGGCTTGCTCTTTGTGGCCTGCTCAGCCTGCTTTCTTTTAGAACCCAGGACCACCTGCCCAGGGATGGCACCCCCCACGATGGCACAACCCCCACCCCCACCCCCATAAATCACTGAGTCAGAAAATGCTCTACAGGTTTGCCTACAGCCTGATCTTACAGAGGCATTCTCTCGGTTGAGGCTTCCTCCTTTCAGATGACTCTAGCTTGTGCCAAGTTGACATAAAACTAGTCAGCACAAAGGTCTTAGAACTCAGAAGCACGGTTGAAAGGTGAGGAGCTCCCCACTCCCCGTTAGGATCTTGGCACCAGGGGCAGATTCTCTTTATTCGCTGCATGTGCAGAATGGGGCTATGGAGTGGGAAGCAGTAAGGAAGGTTCTGCCTGAAATCACAAATACCTCGATCCCTAACTCCTACTCTGTCCACTGTATCTGTCAAGCTTACTGCCAGCTGGAGGGCAGCCGTAGTAGCCTTGCCTGTGTGGCGGCCCAAGGCCAACCATCCTTCAGTTCAGGTAGCAGTTGTATAGACCACTCTGTCTCTCTCTGTGTCTCTATGTCTCTGTCTGCACACACATCATGTGTTTTGTAAACATGTGGAGGCCAGAGGTTGATGTCACATCTTTTCCTCCATCCTCTCCACCTTGTCTTTTGAACCACAAGCTCTCACTGAACTTTAGCAATCACCAGTTCAGCTACACTGGCCAGCATGCTCCCGGTAGCCTCTGGCTGCCACCCCCACAACACTGATGTTACAGGCACATCCGCCTCAGGTGCTGTAAGGCTGAGCTGTTCCCCAGCCACAGGCAACTGCTGCTTTTGTTAACTCACGCTGCTCCTTTCCTTCCCCGGTCCCTGGAACATTCTTAACACGTTTGCAGCAGTCCTCAAAGCCCTTGACTGTGCCAGGACCTGGAGAGGCGTGTAGCAAAGCCGTGTCAGCTTCTCTAAACCTAGGCACCTGATGACCACCCCTGCCTGTTTCAGGTAACCAAGCCTCTCCTGGGAAATGAATATGAAATGTAAGCTGTTTATTCAGTGTTTGCAGCCACGAGCCACCCCACCCCATTTCTTGTCTTGGAAAGGGCAGAGTGAGGTCTGGCGCTAGAAAATATATAAATCCACCCAGATGTGGAGTGTCCCCAGGTCCCCTTTATGAGCCCCACCTAGTATATAGCTTGCTG